CCCTCCTCTCTCTCTCTCTCTCTCTCTCTCTGTCTCTCTCTCTCTTTGTCTCTGTCTCTTTCTCTTTCACTCTTTCTAAAAAGAAAAAAAAGGCATTTTCCACGAATTATAAAGTATTCCGCAATTACGGAACATCAGCCGCACAGTGATTAAAAATAATTATCTACCAGGAAATCGTTTATGTATGATGATATAATTTGCCTCTCTTTCAGACGCGAGAATGTATTTAAAAATTATTCGCTTCGACTGACTTTCGAGGAATATGAGTTTCCCTCGGACAAGATGGCAAAATATGCTGTAAAATAATGAGAAATTCAAGAATTTTATATGTTGTAAATTCCTTTTCGAGTAGATTCATATAATTTTTTTTAAGTTTCCTATATTTTTTTATACTTACTTACTGAAACCGTATATTAATCCATTGTACAATTTATTTTTAACTACTAGAAACGACGAGAAGAAAAAATTTTATTTGAAATATTCAAAAAAGATTTAGACAAATACATTTAAAAATAATTTTGTTGAAAAGATTATCAAGATATTTATGCAGAATATTATTATTCAAATTGATTTTTAAATATTAAATATTTTGCAATAAAATTATCATGTTTAAATTATACCCATATTTAGCCAAACTTTCAAATATTTCAGCAAAAAATCGTCTTTCTATATACGATTATTAAAATATTCTAAATGTATAAAATATTAATGAATTTAATCAAGACATTTAGACTCGAAAATTTTAAATTTCGAGAAAAATAATCAAAATGAATTGCGCAATAATGATAAATAACGATAAAAAAAATCGAGAACAGAAACAAATTGACCAATCCAATCGCCATTAAGAAATTAAAATCATTAAAAGAAACTTACAATCACAAAACAATACACCATTAGTGAAACATCCCATATACATTCGCGATACATAGAACTGCGCTCTAGATCACTTTAATGACCATGAATAACGAATGGGGGAGTTTCCTACTGCGAAGGCTCAAAGGAGTTTATCAACGAGAGCGGAAGAAATGTCGACGTTCGTCAACCTCACGAAGACAAGCGTAGGGCTTGATTTTATATCTTAAAATTAAGTGAAAATTATAAAAATGAGAAAATTTCTGTTGTAAAAATGAAGAATTAGCTCATACATAAAGTTACAGATTAAGATACATAAAGTTGCAGATAACTCTAGTGAATTTCTTCATTTTTGTAATTTTCACCTCGTTTCAAGATATACAATCGACCTCCTAGATCTGTGACTCAAAGCTTAAAGTTTCAACCACCCCGAGTGATACGTCATCGCGACTGGTAGCATGCATCGTCAGCGGGGCCCGCCGTCTTTATTTGCGGGGGGCCCGACCGTATCCTTACGGAACCCTGCAAAAACGTCGCGTATCTGAGCACTACCACTGGGTGTGATAAGCGTCTTATCGGCGCACCGGGCATTATAACGGAGCGTCGCTCGCTCGGCGACGCCGAGGGCGAGGGCGCGGTATCGGTATCGACACGCGAGGACAACGTGACTCACCCCGCACCCCGCTGAGCCGAGCCGAGGGTCGGTGCCTGCCGATCGATAGAAAAGTTTCGCGCGTATAAGCTTCTCGCTCTCTCTTTCTCTTCTCTCTCTCTCTC